TAAACAGGAAAGACACGGTGAAGACTAAAACTATTTGACTAAAATAGTTAACTAAATGGTGCTAACCCACAAAAGTTGTGGTTTAACATTGAATCTAAACAAAGCCAGCAGTACCACAGTATTTATGGGTTGCCATGAAAGGAACTAGGGCTTTGGCAAGTCATAGACTTTGTATTAGGAATAGAGACAGGATAGACGAGGCAGAGATTGGAGCTAGTCGACTGACAGTAGGTTTTACAAGAGACGTGGTCCATGTAGCAAAGGCATGACCATGAGACTTACTCAGAGGCTTCAGTCTCGAATTAGTCACCCAAACGCAGGGGTGGATTAATTACGCCTCTAATAGCACAGATGGGGGGGCAGGGGTCGAGTGAAATACATCTACCAGGGAGATAGCAGACGGATTCGACGGGGCAAGAGGGAGACTTTTATAGCACTTACTGAAGGATTACATAACAATATGACAGACTCTGGTCAACACTCCCAGCACAAGGGTGAAGGGGGTGATAGAGACGGTGTTGAGGGTGAAAGATTTTAATGAATGTCTCTTGAAGGAGCACACCACACTACATTTAAAATAAGCGCGGCAAAAAATTGTGACAGGTAAGGCATCATAGGAGGATATAGGAAATGTGAATAGCCCAGGGAATAAGGGGACATACCATAATTGTTTAGCACACGTTTGGTCAAAGGAGGCTTCACTTGTCTCTTTGACGAGTTGTAATATGGTGCTACTAATAGCGAGACTCACTGACGATGTCGACGAAACGTCTGGAAATGTACCGCGTCCACGTTCTTACTCTGGAAATCATGATGCATACAATAGACTCCGGACTAGGTGCGTTCCTCTAAGTCTTCCTACTAATATGACCGAATTGCGAAAACAAGGTCAAACAACTTCTATACAACGAAAGGAGACTGCGACCACACAAAAGGCCACCCGTATCTTGGTCTTCATACCTTCGATTAAAATAGTCATGTTTGATCATCGATGTGATCCTTGAATCACTATTGTTGGCCAACTAGCTCTAGCTTCCACTATTTATATCCTCTTTCTATCTACGATATAGAGTTTATGACTTCCTATACCCTTCTTCCAACCCACAAACCTTTTGGTTCAAAATTGAACCTAACCAAAGCAAGCATCACCACAACATTTATGGGTTGGCACACAAGAGACTAGTGCATGGTAAGTCATAGACTTGGTAACAGAGATAGAAACAGAATAGACGCTGTGGCGATGGGAGCTAGTGGTCTGACAATAGGTTTTATAAGAGACGTGGTTCATGTGGCAAAGGCCTGACTATGACACTTACTCAGAGGCTTTATCCTCGAATTAGTCACCCAGCCGTAGAGGAGGGATAATAACAGATATAGAGAAATACTTGAACCAGAGAGATCGCAGATGGATTCTACGGGACAAGAGAGAGACCGTAATAAGACCTAAGGAAGGAGGACTACGTAACAATATGGCAGACTTTGATCAAAATTCCCAGCATAAGGATGAAGAGGGGTGAGAAGGCCAGAGTGGAGTGCAAAGGGTTATCATGAAAGCCGCTCTAAAGGCGCACCGTACCACATTTAATTAAGCAAGTATAAAATTGTGATAGTGAAGGTGTGTTTGGAGGATATAGGAAATGTGAATAGGCCAGGGCAGAGGAGATACTTTAACTGTTTAGCACACGTTTGGTTAGACTCGGCTTTATTTGTCTCTGACGAGTTGTAATATGGTGCTACGAATGGTAAAACTCACTGACGATGCTGACTACGATGCCGGAGAAACGTCTGAGATTGTACCACGTCCAACGTCCGAATTTGGAAATGATTATGCATTAAATGGACCCCGGACTAGGTGTGTTCCAATAAGTCTTCCTACCAATATGACGATGTTGCGAGAACAAGGTCAAACAACCTCTATACAACGAAAGGAGACTGCGACCACACAGTCTTCCTACCAATGTCACCAAGTTGCAAAAACAAGGTCAAATAACTTCTATACTTATATTGTTAACTTAGAGGTTATGAAATTAATGATAAAAGGCTAGAAAGGCTAAGAAGGCTGGTTGAGTGCGCTTTTCTGTTATAATTAATTTTGAATAATTTAGAATGAGAAGAAACCATTATTTAGGACAAGAATGGAATTCGGCAACTCTTCATCCAAGTTATTAGTGCTTCCGTCCTGCTAGTTTTTAGAAAATATATGCGAATTACTGAGAACTGGGAGATCACGACTTCGTATAAAGAAAGACTAATACCTTCCTCAGCCATACCTTTTAGCGAATATTTAGGGTCTCTTAAGGTCAGGTAGGTATAAGGTTTTGTGCTAATGTGATAGTGCCTATGTAAAGGAGGCTTGTCTACTCATAAGAAGGTACCAGAACACAACGCGATCTGCAAGGGCCTATGAGTCCAGAAATCGGAGATGACTGAACGTAGAGTTAATACGGGATACCGAAGAGAGTTGTATAAAGCCAAACGTTTTGCCGGATATGAATGCTTACCAATTAAACATAAGATAAGAGATCGTAGAATGTACCCAACCAATGTTCCAATGCTGGAAATCACAAATACTATGGCAGAGGATACGGGACGGTCTCTCTGGTGCTTCGACCAAGTTGCAAAAACAAGGTCGAACCAACACTGTAAGGTAATAATATTGATTAAAATGAATTCGGCTGAGCATCCTGAATAAGAGCAACGAGTGTTGAAAATTAAGTCAGAATTATTCTTTGTTACTGGATAAAATTAGACAGATTGAAAGGGAAAACGAAGATGGTCTGAGTAAGAGAAGGCTTGATTAACTTGGAGTCTCGTTTGGCTTTGAAATTCCAACCCATTCTTCGTATTGCATAAACACAAGCGCACTAATTCATTAACCTAAAACAAGCCTCAGTATTGCATGATCGTATACTAGTTTATTTGCATAAAAAAAGCAGTAACCACATCTTTCCTTTGTTACATCAACTCCACTCGTCTCCTGCATGTAGGGTAGGCATAAGGGAGCCAACCAAATCATCGGATGTCTCATTAAGATCGCAATGTTACTTATACGAAGTAAGTTGGATTTCAGCCGGCCATCTTTTTTGGCTTGGTCTTCTCTTCCTTTATACTCGTTCAGCACTCTTAAGTCGTCTCCACTCTAATACCATAGTTCTCTCTACATCTCTTGAATCTGCTTTCTATCGTCTCGCTCTATCTATCCATTTTTTATACCCTCTCAATAAGCATTTGGAATTTATTTGTCATCTTTTTGCTATCATCCTTATTCCCGCCTATTCTATCTCTTCATCATACCTCTTACGCTCCTTTCCACTCCACTCGTGCTTTATTTTATACTCTCTTTTCAACTGTTCAAATATTACAAATCTAACTTAGCACCATATCGAAGTGGGTTTAGTTGGTTTTCGTAACTTGGTCGTGCTGCCTAGTCGATGAATTTAGTACCAATTCCACGGTCCGTCACTAGGAATTATGACTACTATAGCAAAGGACTTTGGACAAAGTGCGTCCAACTAAGTCACACTACAACACAACCAAGTTGTGAAAACAAGGTCAGTCCACTTCTATACATCGAGAGGAGACTGCGACCATACCGAAGCCCATACCATTCTGGTCTTCATATCTTCGATTAGCATCATATTACCAAGTATACCCCAAATATTCCTTTTTATTTTATCTTTTTGACTTTTTACAACCCTACATTTTTTGATTACCCTTAGTCGTGGAGAGATATGTGCCCTAGAGCCTCTGTTACTGGAAGCACCTACTTCCTCAGGTCGCTCATCTCTCTCATTCCTCAAGCGTCTGCGTGGAGCGCGACCCTTCGGCACTGCCTTTTTCACCCAGTCCGCCAAAGATGTCACCCGGTCACCGACTCTTGGTCTCTCTCCTACTCATGGTTTATCTAATAAGTGCACGCAAAACGTTTCTGCCTCCAGTTCTTTCGCAATCCCCTCTTCTTCACTTACCAGTCTTCTCTCGCTTAGGCGCCCCAAAGTAGATGCCATTACTACCGCCGATAATTTGGCCTCAATCATCCCGTCTCTGCGACCGCATAAAGCCCCTGCCCAGCCTTCGTCATGCACTGGCCGTTCATTGCTTCTGGGGCCCTTCAGAGGTAGGAGGGTATCCTCTCCAAAACAAGAGGTAGACATCAATAGACATCTCGATCAACAGGATCTTCCAGCTGGTCTAGGACAGCAGGTTCCAGGTGCCATTAATGAAATGGAAGCGGAGCTTGGTTGGGGCGAGGGTATGAGAGAAGAGAAGGCCAAACAGAAAATTCGATCCAGAGCTTTTGGCAGTCTGGATGACTTTGCACTAATCGCTCTGGCCTCTTTTACGAGGCTAATTATTGTCAGTCTACAGCCGCATTTCCAGGTGCTCTTCTGGACTCCACTAACAGTAAGACTACTTTGTCCACTATACAAGCAGAAAAAAATTCTACTAAGATTTATAGTTTTTATAGGTCGCCTACGGTGATAGGAGACTGATAGTTACATTTTTCCACAATGATATAAGTAGACCTTACGGTGCCATTTAATTTACTTTGGCTTTACCTCCTAATAGGCATTCTCATATAAGCGAAGGTATGAAGACCAAGATGTTGGAGTCTTTTGTGTGGTCTCAGTCTCCTTTCATTGTATATAGGTTGTTTGACCTTCGCAACTTGGTCATATTGGTAGGAAGACTTCGATGAACGCACTTAGTCCGGATTCCATTGTATGTATTTTCATTTCCAGAGTAGAACCGTGGACATGGTACATTCCCAAACGTTTCGCCGGCATCGTCAGTGAGTCACGCCATTCTTAGCACCACACAACTCGTCAAAGAGACAAGTAAAGCCGACCCCTTGACTAAACGTGTGCTAGACAGTTGTGGTATCTCTCCTGCCATGGGCTATTCACATTTCCTACATCTTCCTATCACGCCTTCACTGTTACAATTTTTACCGTTCTTATTTCGATGTAGTGTGGTGTGCTCTTTTGAGCAGCATTCATGAAAACCCTTCACACTCTACACTGTCGTTCTCACCCCCTTCACCCTTGTGCCTGGAATGTTGACCAGAGTCTGTCATATTGTTACGTAGTCCTTCCCTGGGTCCTATCCAAGTCTCTCTCTTGTCCCGTAAGATCCGTCTACTCTCTCCCTGTTTCACGTATTTCATTCTACCCCTGCCACCCCATCTGTGCTACTTGAGGCGTTATTCGCCCTCCCCTGCTTC